TAGTTATCAATAGATTTGTGGAAGATTGGGGTTGTTTGGTAACTTTTGGACTTAAATTGAAACGACTTTTGGAAGTACGGGGCTATAGAATAAAATATAGATTTAATTTGAAAATAAATTGATGATGAGGGATTGAAAGTGTAAAAAGGATTTAATATTTGAAATAGAAGCGAGACTTAAATCCGCTTCCCCCTACCCTCTTGTTATTCTCGGCTATAAGCAAACATCAACCTTAAACCTAATTTATAATAGTAGCCGCCACCTTGTGCTCTAGCTGCCATCGCCATCTTATGAGCCTCATATATCTACCACCTAGAGTATCGAGCTAAACCACCGTCTTGGCTGAGCGTCGATAACCCCCCCTCTCTGATAACAAGAGACCGAGACAATCGTGAGAAAGAATCAAGGGGATATCACACCACCATCTTCTCCGTGGTGTCATGTTTTCGTAAAACCAAGCATCCACCGCCTTGTTGTTGTCGATCTCATCACTTCCGACGAGAAAATAGAGAAGTCGAGTAAGGGAATCAAAGTACGAAGTTATGAGATGTTTTTTTTGCACTCGTTTCACTAGAAAGGAAGTGTTTTCGGCGTCTTCTTTCATTTCTTTTGTGCGTAAAACCGACAAAAAACACCTAACTGCCATTGCTCATGACCGTTGTTAAGTATTGGTGTGTGCAATGCGTGTGTGTGTGTTAGTTATAGCCGATTATATGGCGTTAGTATGTGTTATGGGTGTTGTATGTGTGTTTGTGTCCTGCTAAATTGATAAACCAAAGAAAACCTATAACCACCATAGGGAGGTGGGTGCCACCGTTTGCCAACTTTTTGCCACTATCTGCCACCACCAGCCACCATGTTAGGTGGTTGTGTACATGTATTAATGTGCATATGTGTCTTTTCTACGTAAATAATGTAATAGATGCTTTTTCGTCGTATTTTAACTCAAAAACCACCACCGTCGCCATGAAGTGGTGGCTGCCGTTGTCACAACCAGGAAATTCTAATGCTTTTGTAAACAATAACAATGATAACATTTGTAACTAAAACTTGAAAGTATGCATTATGTTTATTCAATAACACCAAAGTTCCATTAAACACCCAATGCAAACACTTCAAATAGTCAACAAAAGATTGAAAACCCTAAAAATCCCGGTTTAAGTCCATTATGGACTAGGATTTTTTTATTGGGCCTAATAGACCAATAAGCCTCCAATTTCACTATTTTGGGCTTAGGACCCTTAAATGGGCTCTAATTAGACCAACTTGCATGAAACTTAACATTTTGGACTATAATGGGCCTAAATTGAATTAGTGTACCTTTAGTGGGCCTTGTTGGGCCATAACAAATCTAATAATCCCTAATGGGCCACAAATCTAATATTTTATGCTAATTGGGCTGTAAACCACCTTAAGGGCCCAATGGGACAAAAACTTCTTTACGGACCTCATGATTTCAAGTAAGGATCAAGAATTGGGCCAAAAATGAATCATTTTTCCCTTCTTAATGCAACTCTTGGCCCAATTAAAAAGAAAGAAAAGATTAGAAGAAGAATTAAAATAAAATGGATTAAGGAGGAAAATTATGAGCATGCCACCTTTTTATTGCATGGTGGACATCCATGCAATGTCACCTCACTCTCTCTACCCTCTTCTTCTTCTTCTTCTACTACTCTCGACCGAGAGCATCAAAACTCACACACACACACACACACTTAATTCACTCCCACATACTTCCAAAGTCTCACAAGAACACCTTCATTCTTCCATTAAAATTTCGAGATTAGTAATCATTCCAAGAAGGTTCTTTACACATATCACAAATCCTTGGTAAGTTTTTACTTAGATCCATGGATTAACTTCTATATATTATCAAAAATCTTCTGTTAATTAATTCAAATTCATGATCAAGCTTCTTAGAACCCATTGATCGAGGTCGTTGTCTCGGTCAAAAATAAACCTCACACACACTAGATAGCTAGGGTAAGTGAGGGTCGAATCCATGAGGAGGTTGTGGTCAAACTTTGTGTTAAAATAGTCAATGAAAACGAACTAATGCTTGTAATTGTCACGAATTCAAATTAAACTAAAATAAACTAAACAACTAGAGTCTTCATGTCGTAAAAGGCTGTAAAAAATACTATGAATGAGAAAAACAAGGTTACTTCATGTTCAATGTCGGATGATTAAGACTCACGTGTTTGTCTTCCCTTAAAGTCCAATTTAATTACCTAGACATAATTAAGGTCAATTAACATGCAATAAATAACTTTGGGCACACAATATGTTATTCCTACTAATTGTCTTACTCCCTATGTCTAAATGGATTAGGAACAATGAGTGGCTTGACAATATTTCGTCTTATGATTACCAATTACAATGTTTAGCATTTAAAATCACAAGTTTGGAATAGTATATGTTGATTCAACCGATCGTCTTAGTTCCTAAACTATATGAATTCGGCACGATTAGTGAATTGACAATAAACTATCGTAATTGTAAAATTAAACAAATGAATAACACCCAACTTCAATTATCATTAATAGAAATCATAAATTTAAGAACATATAATAACAAAAGTTGATTGGAATAGAAGTGATAATCAAAACACGTTCATCAAATCATCCTAAACATTCCCGGAAGTAACCTAGGTGGTTTAGCCTTCCATAGAATTCACAAAACACAAAACTTGAATAAAAACAATTTAATTCATAATAAAATTCATAAACCAACTTGAAATCATAAAACTAATAAAATCTAATGATCAATCAATCATTGAACGATGAAATCTTGGAGAAGAAGTAACCAAATCTGGAGTTTGATTGAGATCCATTGGTTTAATGAGTTCAATTGTTGAATGATGATGAAATTGGTGATTTGTAGCCTCGGATTCGGAAATTAATGATCAAAAACACACTTGGAGAATGTTTGGAAGTGTTTGGAACCCTCCAAAACTGGTGAAAATCGCAGGGGAGGAGTCCAAAGTCGATTAGGGTTAAATCTCCTTTAAATAGGTGCTGAAAAATTGATTTTCGGAGCTGTTTTCCGTGTCAGCATCCTAGTAGGCGTATTAGACGTCATATAGGATGTCCAGGCGTCCTTCGGGGCATTTTACATGCCTTCTGACGACCTTGATTCGCACTTTAAAATGGCCTAAAACGGGTAGGCGTCCTAGGGGGCGTCTTAGACGCGTTCTAGGACGTACCTGATCTTTGTCGCTCCTTTTTGGCTGTGAAAACCGTAGAATCAGTAAAAACGCAAAGCATGAAAGTTGTTGTAAATTTTTTGTAGTTTCCAGAACTTCTTCGTTCATGTCAATTGGAGTTCTAGATCTTGATATATGATCAAAACATTGAAGAGTGGTCAAATTTCTCGGCACCATTTTTCTTCATTCCTTTAGCAATTCGTCTCCCACGCATGTTAACTTAAGTTTGCTCGTTTTTCTTGCGGGTTCCACGCACTTTTAGTACAATATATTGACTTGCATATGAGTTCCAAAAACTCATCAAAGTAGTGTCATTCTTGGACAATTATACATCAATTCAACAGATTTGTGACAATTTAGTACATTCATAAAATAGACTTATCAAACCTCCCCAACTTTATTCCAAACTCGTCCCGAGATTGGCATGAAATAATCAGTGTAGTCTTACTCTCTTATCCTAAGAAAAACTCAATGGAATCACAACTTTCGTACATTTTATCACAATACTTTCAATAAGCACAATATATCGATTTTGGGGATTATTAGTTTCATATCCCGACCTTTAAACTCAAAACACATGTTATGCTTATTTTACTTTGCTGTTTGAAACCCTTCACTTTTTGAACCCTTTCCAATAATCAACCTCATGAGTAATCAGTTGAACTCATTGCCAAAGTCCCCTTTTCAAGGTTCACTAACATAGTTAGTGCGGTCGGTAACACTTAATGGACCAACCCATACACTCCCGCTATCGAGGGGTCACATATTGTTGCACACAAATGTCTTCAACTTGAAATTTTCTTCATATTTGTATTGATTGAGTATTCTTCAAGTTCTTTAATGACTTCATCGGATTTGATCATCTTTGTATTCGAATTGGGCTTGATTATATATATTTTGAAGTTCTTCAATATCGTTTTGATGCTTTTTGGTTGTGTGAAAACAATAATAGTCCCCTCCCAACCCCAAAGGTGCAGGATTAAGTAAGACCGAGTACTCAGAGCGTGATGACACATATTGTTCGGTTGGGTCCTCAATTGAAAGATCGTAGGCTCGAGCCAAAAACCTTCATTTTTCAAACACTTGATTATTTCACATAACAATTTTTAAATAAATATAAGTATTCCCAAACCGGCTGATCAACCCAAAAAATCAATATTAAATAGATACTATGACTCGATGTACAAAACTCCTATCATTTTCCATCTTGCTGAGTTACATTCCAGATATAGAGATGCTACCAACTCATCACATTTTTCATAGTGACCAACTTCAGGATAAGATAATTAAAGATAGAGTTTAAGATAGCATTACATTCATCCTAAGTTGATTATCCAAAAAAATCCTCAAAGTTAATGTAAAAGAAATTAAAAATATGGAGGACGATACACCTGATGGTACTGATAGTAGAGGCGGTTTTGATTTCGAAAAAACCTCACTTTTTTTTAAAAAAAATCACTTTTTCTTCAATCCTCCATCTTTTTATTGTGTACAAGCCCTCCCCAACTTTAAGTATTGCATCATCCTCGATGCATTAAAGTTAAATTTCTAAAATAATAATAAAAACAACTACAAGCACACAAATCAAATAAAATAGAAATAAACTACACTAACTAGCCCTCAATTTCGCCATGGTCCACGATTGCACTTGGCACATGCAACAAGCCTTTTAAACCCCTAGGCTACCCCTAGTGGACGAGTGAAGTATCGTGAGGGTTTGCAATGAACACACCTACAAAGTTTCAAAATTACCAAGTTTAATTTCATTAGCGGGACGAGTTACCTCGAGTGATGTCTATGAAGGCTCATATATTCGTGGACTTTTTTGAAAGTCAACCATGAGGTTGCTCACCTTACTTTGAGGAACCTGATCATGTGGAAAACCTTTTTTGGCCTTGTGAAAATCAACTATTTTGCGTTTAATCCTTCCACAATGATGCTTAAACCTTGTTTTGAATAGCCATGCATCTTTCCATCTAGTAAACTTCTTTAATCGATGCTTTATATCATGTAACACTTTCATTTTTGATTTGTGGGCATGTGTTGCATCATGTTTTTTGTTCCATAACTTTCTTTCCATGTGTTGAATCCCACTATTATCCAATGATTTTGCCCTGTTACATGAGAAAATTTTCTCCAAATCGAGGGTGGTGTCTGAGAGCATATTTGCGGTATGCTCATAGACATAATCATGAATAGTATTGATTACACAGTAATCACCACTGATTGGAGAATCATTAGTAGGTACAAACACAAGATATCTCACCTTATGGTTTCCAAATAACATATCAATTGCACCTTCCTGACAACCAATCTGAGCATAGATGGTTGCCAATAAGGGACGGTCAATGATTAAATTTGTTTTTTTGTATTTGGAATTTATTTTAGAATTTGTTAGAACAAACACTACTAGAAAAAAGGTCTTTTACGATGCTCATTGCGCGTCGTAAAATGCTCAAACAACGTGCAAATGTGCGTCAAGGAAGGCCCTGTCATAACGAGAGACGACGCGCATTTACGATGCACATTTATGACACACAATGCGTATCATTAAAGCCGCTGTCAAGAAAGGCTATGTCATAAATGAAGATGACACACATTTTTGCGTATCGTAATTTTAAGTTTTTTTTTTTTTTTTTTTTTTTTTTTTATAGATTTACTAATTTTCAAATTAAATTTGCATTTCATGTCTCATAATAGAAAATAAAATACCATATACAAAAAATACAATACATTGCACAAAAGTTAATGTCATACAAGAATACAATACATTGGTATTAAGAGGATCTAATTGTACATTGCTATTAAGAGGTTTTCCCTAACTATATAACCTATTTATATAACCTATTGGCATACATATGTGTAGTTCCAAGCAAAGTTCCTGGGGCTATCTTCTCTTCTTTTTCCTCTAGCATCATTACCAAATCAAACAACATAAATGATAAAAGTAAAACCACTAGATATATTATTTAAGTATATATAAAAACATTTGTATTATATATATATATATATATATATATATATATATATATATATATATATATATATATAGATAAGCATGAAAAGAAAAGGCTACCTGATATAGAGGTTTCTCGGGTTCCTTCCTTTGCTGTTGCTGTTTGCGGAGGTCAATAACATCTGGAGTTTCAACACCAGTTGGGGTTAGGGTACGGAGGAGAAATAAAAAAGAAAAAATAAATCAGTTTTTTAAACACATTTTATTATTACAATAATAATGATAATAAAAGGGTGGTAAAAAAAGAAATAGAAAATAAGACCTTGAAAGGATGAATAACTAATTCTTGGCTACATTTTAGTATTGGATGTTGCCATATATTAAATTCTCAAAGCTCTATTTTAATTTGCTTTCTAAATTGCATGAAACATTGAAACCCATGTTAAGCCTTTATATCATATAAAAAGTAAATAACAGATTGTAGTTGAAACCCATGAAAAATGCTAATTCTTGAAAATCATTACTGCAAACCTGTTTAGACTGACCATTACAACCACCTAGAATGCTCCACACAGCTCCAAAAGGTGGCAGCAAGCTCCACACAGCTCCAAAAGCTTGGGAAAAAATTTAAGACCAACAAACACAACAACTAAGCAAAACACAGAGCAGGGGTAAAATGGTCAAAAAGGAAGAAAACACTTCAAAGTTCAAATAGCAACCATAGCAGGTTAATAATGTAGCTATAAAATTAGCAATTAGATACCTAAGAAAGAAATCACAAGTTTCCCCAAGTTTCCCCTGTTCCAACAATTAATAAAATCAATAATTCACAAATTAGGTTAATGATGTAGCTAATTTTTTATACTCACAAGAGAATAAGGGAATAAGTGATGCAATCGATTTCTGCATGACACAGTTAGAAAGAAGATTGGCTGTGTTGTTCTTATAACATGCCTTGCTTCAGAACCCACACGATGTACTATCTCGGGTTCACTTTCCTGCAATATAAATCCAACATGAACAGATTATCAATAACAACTGATGATATATAAGAAGTTTATGAATGATTTATAAGAAAAGTTATGATAAGGGAAAAGGAACTTGCACTTACTGTTTCATCATCATGTTCTACCTTTTCGCATCTCAAGCATCTCTCTCCCGAGCCAGTCAACTGAACTAGATGAATAATTCAAGCCGGTAACAAATCTAGAACTGCCAACTCCGCCATATCCAAGGTTGGTAGAAGCCATTTAACACTTGATGAATAGCACAAAGGTGGCAACGACTGTTTCTTTAGTAACTTCCAGCATGTTGTTTCCGAATGTCAACCAAGGGTATAATGGACCAAACTCGAAATAAGTTTATATTTATCCCTGACATGACGTTGAAGTTTTTAACCTCGAGTGTCAATACCAAGCATATCCCTGGAACTTTGTGCTGTTGGATCGATGTATATCAGGAGCTGTAAAATCAAAAATCAAAAACATTAAATATAAGTAAATTCAAATTGTAACTTACCAATAGACATTAAATATGAGTAAATCAAAAATCAAGAACATCATCAACCAATAGTTTGACACCAATAAATTCATCACGATTAGCAAGGCTTCTAACAAGTTAATTGCTCATTCACTATAATCTATTCCAGTGAGATCAGAGAACCTATTTATACTAACATCAAAAGTAATAAAGAATGATTTATCAATTATCATCATACCAAAAGGAGAAATAGGTGTCATTATGTATAATACTATACCCCTGTTTAGCAAGCTCTTGAAGAAGTAGCCCATTGCCTGTTCCAACATCAAGAACACTCCATCCTGCTAAATCTTTATCCTCTTGACTAACAGACTCAGAGTCATCATTTTTATGTTGAATTTGTAAATGTCTTTGTGAAATGTCAACACATAGTCCTTTTGTCCATGAAGAAACCATTTCCATGACATCTGCCCCAAACCTTTAGAAAGAATTTAAAAAGTCTTACAAAAAATCATCTTGTCAAAAAAGGTATATGTCATAGTCAATTAGATATGCATACCAAACTTCACCAGCATCCCCATGTTCACGAAAATTTGTCAAATCATCTGCATATGTTGCATCCCAGTAACTTTGATACCCCAGATGATTACCTCGGTTAAAGCTTTAATTTACTAAACCTTCAATTGGAACTGAAGAAGCTTAGGGCAATACCCTTGCTGCTGTAATTGATGATTGGGACGCATTTTTCCTAGCAATAAGAGATCACAGATGTGACCATTACTACAACTAAATGAGCTTCAGTTCCATTCCATATCTTTAATTCCAACTCTCAAACGCTAAATGGTAATTTTCTCTAGCACTAGCAACTTCAGGGTAAGATTGACAAGTTGATTTAGTTGATGAAGAATCTTGATCTTGAAACTGAATTTGAACTAAACAACACATGGGTGTCTTCAAAGTCAAGATCAAGAACTAAAGACGATGGAATTTTCTAAAAAAGAAAAACATTAAGAAAAAGAACAAAGGCAAAAGGATTGGATGTTTAAGAATCATAGCCCTAATTTGTTTACTAATCACAGATAAAAATGCCCAGATTGGGAAGGAAAATAAACATGCAGGTTCCAAAAATCAAGAAACCCGAACAGTTTATGAAGATCTTATAAAATCAAAGAGCTAAATCCACATAAATTCTAACACTGAAAGAAGAACAAGAAAGGGGTTTGAAAGATTAAAGATGAAAACACATGAAATAAGAAATTATACTCTATGGAGGAGAGACTTACCTAAAGTTGCAGGAGAAGAAGTATTTGCGCAATCAGAGTAGTTTTAGGGTTTCCTTCGGTTACTCCCTTCACGTCTCCGATAATCTCCATCTATGGAGGAGAGAGATGAGAGAAAACCTGGTGGAGAGGGAGAGACGAGAAAGTGGATGCATCGATTACGGAGAAAACAAACTTAGAGAGTGGAGTGAAGTTGGATTTAGGAGAAGTTCACATGGATGATGGATACCGGAGACCAAAAATGGTAGAGTAGTAGTTACAGCATTTGCAGCTTGGAATGTTACTTGATTCTGTTATGCTTTCTTCAGTAAATAGAACAAACAACTTCAAGAAGCTGAGATTGTGCCTTCTGCTTCAAAAAGAGAGCTTTCCAGAACCAGAATCCAATGATGGAGAAGATGCAGCAGATGCAGGCACTGTTGTGATGCGATGTTGGAATGGTGGAGTCCGAGAGAAAACACAAATTGTGATGTGTAGCTATCGTTGTTGGTGATGTTTGATTCATCAGAAGCCCTAGTTCTTCGCTCAATCTTCTATTTTGTGAAAGAAGACATTACCATTGCAAATGCGTTACGTTTGATTAGGGTTTACACAGAGAAGGAAGTGAAAGTTGATCGTAGAGGAAAGGGTTTGCAGAGAGAAGGAAGGGAGAGAATGAAGTCGATCTGGCGGGTGTAGAGAGTACAGAGGAAGAGGATGGCGGGTGTTCAAAATTTTGGGGGATTTCATTTCCCCCCTTACCTATTAAGGCGTCCCGCCCAGAAACGCATGTTTAGTAAAAATTATAAAGTGACATTTATAGAGGACACTCTTTTTATGAGAGGTGCCCTCTGTGTTTTTTATTGGAAATGCGTGTCCACTATCCTTCAAATTTTGGAAGGCTAACATTATTTTTAAGGGCACACAAAAATGCATATCGTAAATCTGCGAGTGTCATTGTTTGCGCGTCATTAAAGGGTATTTTTCTTGTAGTGAAAAAGTTGTGTTTCAGGTTTTTTCAAAATTATTGGGTAGGGTATGGGATTAGCCTCCACAAACCCCTCCCTAACTTTGGACTCTTCCAACTCATGAAAATATTCATTATACTTATCCAATTCAATTTCAACTTCTTTGATTTCAGAAATACTCTCAGTCTCCTGATCATTTAAAGATACGTAATCCTCCACCACAAGCTCTAGTTCGGGTGGTGTAAGTTTATGCACTTTGTTATCAAATGATTTATCACTACATGGAAAAATTACCTCATTCACCAGCGTAGTGTTTGAAAGATTGCTGAAGGTTGTTGATTTAGGTTCTTAGCTATATGGTCTAATTGTTTTTCAATAACTGAAATTGACTTGGAGTTGTCTTTTTCTTTGTTGAAGGTTTCACTCAATATGTCCAGCGTTTGATCCAACTTTTTGCTAAATGAAGATTCATCTGATTCATGGTCCTCCAGAAAACAAGGTGATTCATGGTGTTGGCTTTGAGTTGAATCGTCAGTCCACCAACAATCATCATGATATGGATCATCACATGTATCATCATTATATGACTCATAGTAGAGATCATTATAACATTGATATTGGCTTGACTTTTCTCTCTCCCACCACATATCTTGATTTAATTCTTCCATTCACCACTGTGCCTACAAAAAAATAACAGTAAACGAGTGAAGATTCTAAACTAATATATATATATATATATATATATATATATATATATATATATAAAGACTATTTCAACACAATAATTCAAGCGCACAATCTCCCCGGCAACGACACCAAATTTTGACTGAGGTCGTTGTCTCGGTCAAAAATAAATTTCACACACACTAGATAGCTAGGGTAAGTAAGGGTCGAATCCACGAGGAGGTTGTGGTCAAACATTGTGTTAAAATAGTCAATGAAAAAGAACTAATGCTTGCAATTCTCACGAATTCAAATTAAACTAAAATAAACTTAACAACTAGAGACTTCATGTTGCAAAAGGTTGTAAAAAAATACTATGAATGAGAAAAACAAGGTTACTTCATGTTCAATGTCGGATGATTAAGACTTACGTGTTTATCTTCCCTTAAATTCCAATTTAATTACCTAGACATAATTAAGGTCAATTAACATGCAATAAATAACTTTGAGCACACAATATGTTATTCCTACTGATCATCTTACTCCCTATGTCTAAATGGATTAGGAACAATGAGTGGCTTGACAATATTATGTCTTATGATTACCAATTACAGTGTTTAGCATTTAAAATCACAAGTTTGGAATAATATATGTTCATTCAACCGATCGTCTTAGTTCCTAAACTATATGAATTCAGCACGATTAGTGAATTGGCAATAAACTATCCTAATTGTAAAATTAAACACATGAATAACACCCAACTTCAGTTATCATTAATAGAAATCATAAATTTAAGAACATATAATAACCAAAGTTGATTGGAATAGAAGTAATAATCAAAACACATTCATCAAATCATCCTAAACATTCCCGGAAGTAACCTAGGTGGTTTAGCCTTCCATAGAATTCACAAAACACAAAACTTGAACAAAAGCAATTTAATTCATAATAAAATTCATAAACCAACTTGAAATCATAAAACTAATAAAATCTAAAGATCAATCAATCATTGAACAATGAAATCTTGGAGAAGAAGTAACAAAATCTGGAGTTTAATGAAGATCCAACAGTTGAAAGAGTTCAATTGTTGAATGATGATGAACTTGGTGATTTGTAGCCTCAGATTCGGAAAATGATGATCAAAAACGCGTTTGGATAATGTTCGGAAGTGTTTGGAACCCTCCAAAACAGGTGAAAATCGCAGGGGAGGCATCCAAAGTCGATTAGGGTTAAATCTCCTTTAAATAGGTGCTGAAAAACTGATTTTCCGAGCTGTTTTCTGTGTTGGCATCCTAGTAGGTGTCTTAGACGTCATATAGGAGGTCCAGGAGTCCTTCGGGGCATTTTACATGCCTTCTTCCTTCCTTTATTTGCACTTGAAAATGGCCTAAAACGGGTAGGCGTCCTAGGGGGGCGTCTTAGACGCGTTCTAGGATGTACGTGATCTTTGTCGCTCCTTTTTTTACTATGAAAACCGTAGAATCAATAAAAACGCAAAACATGAAAGTTGTAGGAAATTTTGTCTAGTTTCGAGAACTTCTATGCTCATGTCAATTAGAGCTCTAGATCTTGAGATATGATCAAAACATTGAAGAGTGATCAAATTTCTCAGCACCATTTTTCTTCATTCCTTTAGCAATTCGTCTCCCATGCTTGTTAACTTCAATTTGCTCATTTTTCTTGTGGGTTCCGCGCACTTTTAGTACAATATATTGACCTGCATATTAATTCCAACAACTCATCAAAGTAGTGTCATTCTTGGACAATTATACATCAATTCAACAGATTTGTGACAATTTAGTACATTCATAAAATAGACTTATCACCCATCCAAGCCCAAAGATCTCTCAAAAAGCTTTCTAGGGTCGAGAATCACCTCAACCCCTTCCATTTCTTCTTCAAAACCGTGAGAAACAAGCAAAGGTGAGCTTCATACCCCCTTGTTTTCGGTTTTTACTTGTTTTGCAGGGGAGAATACAAGTATTATGTGATGATCTATGTGTGTTTGCAGGCTATACTTGATTTCTTCAGTTTTTGGTTGTGATAATGTGTAAAATTGGTTAAATTTCGAGATCTATAGCAAAAAGGGTGAAAGAATCATAAACAAAAATATCCTAAACAACATACATCATAGATCTAAGAGTCTTTAAGTTTAAAAAGAGGAAAGACAAAACCAAAAGAACCTTACAAGTGTAATATTTGCAAAAATAGCAAAGATTGGGTATAAATTGTAATTTGTCGGTTTTATGAGGGTTATGTATAAAAACTGATTTTTATGAAAATAACACTTTCCAAAGGGTAAAAAACATAAATTTTTGCTTAATGGGCTTAAAAATGGGTGCGAAAAATAGGAATTTAAGGGGTTAAATTGGAAAAACTCAACAAAATATTGGTCTAAAATGTAAATAAACTATTTCAAGGATTAAAAATGAGTTTATTACCAAGTTTGGACTAATATTGCAAAGTTTTTGATTTTTGGGTCAAAATTTTAAATCTTACGGAAATTGGGTTAAAAATGTAAATTTCTTACAAATAAAGCCTGGAAATGACAAATACAATAGTTTTGGGTTGAAATTACCATTTAAAAAAAGTTTGGGTCAAAATGCGCAAGAAAAATGGTTTAAGGACCAAAAATGTCAATTTTCGTAAAAAGGAACTAAAACTCTCATTTTTACAGAAAAAAAGGCTGAAATGGTCAAACTAAATGTTTTTGGACCAAATAAACAATTATAAATTTTTGGGTTACAAATATCAAGTTTATAGATCACGGTTTTATATATATATATATATATATATATATATATATATATATATATATATATATATATATATATATATATATATATATATATA